ACTGTTACGTGTATACGTTTGCTCTAACTATAATGTTTTAAACGTTCTAAAATACTGTTATATGTCTTATAAATTAAATTGATTGCATTCGAGAATATATGCATTGTTTTCATCGAAAATAAATTTTTGTTATTTATAATATCCAATGTGTGTAACACTTAAAATCGTATGATCAATATTTTACAATTAAAAATAATAATTATTCGATAGATATTCTTATTTTCTTTTTTTTTTTGACAAAATAAAAGTATCCTTGCGTGTGTTGAGTTTTGTGTCTGTATAAAATATTAAAAAATTCAATAATACTATAATCTACGAAAGAATAAAAAATTTATACGAGTATATGGGTCTCTTTCTTTTTAATATAAAAGGCATATTTAAAAAGCACATAAATACCTCGTTTAGTATGTATTAAATGATAGCGCCAGTATGTCTGGCGCATGGAACGAATGAAAACGAACAGGACGATCGTATATGATAGAAAATATATAGTCCAGGAAGACCCATTTGTTCCAACCATCTTCCCACGTTCTTGTTTGTTTGCCACTTTTTAACGAGAACGTTGGAAATGAAAGCATGTATCCTTATAAACCCATTTTTAAACTCAATATTCAATATAATCTACGTTTTTATAGATTATTGTTATTCAACCAAGTCGAAAAAAAAGTTTCCTTTAAAAGTAATAACGATTCACGATTTAAATTATTCAATAATATAGAGAGAACGGGTGATTAAAACTAATTCAAGATTAATACTAATCGAAATAATTTCTATGTAAATACATGATTAATATTTAAATTAGATATATATATCACATTATCATTTATAATTATAAAAGATTACAAACAATATAATATGATTTATGATTGAATATTACTGACGAACGCATTGAATGCATGATTGAAATAATTAAATACTAATAGAGATCAAATGGAAATACGTTTGCAAATATTGGAACGTTCCTTAATTAAAAAAAAACAAAAAAAGTAATAAAAATATTTATAATATAATAACATTATTTTTATAAACACAGAGAATATTCCAATTCCATGATACTGTTAATTCGCAATAAAATAATATCCCTTCAAATTTCGGGATAAAAATAATATTAAAAATCATTGAAAAAAAAAAAAAAACAAAATACCAACCAAATGAATAAGAAAAAATTACAATAAAAAAAATATAAATCCACAAATAATAATTCACTAATAATAATCAAATATAATTATCAAAGCGTTACTCCCCAAATAATTATGAATTAAACAATAACAAAATTGAAAGTAGAAGAATATAAACATGTTATAGGAAAGAAAAATAAAATGAAGTAATGCCATTGGCTTTGGTAGTAGAGTAGAGTAGGTTCATGGAAAAGGAGGATACTTTTTAGCCAGGCTGCGCGGCAACCTTTGACATTTGAAGAGGGGTGGTGGGTCGTTTTCATCCCCCTCATCCTCCACCCTTTAACATGAAGTACCTATAGCACGTAGATACTATATACCCTATATTCCCAACGATCCGTTCGTTCCTTCGTTCCTTCGTTCGTCGTTCGTTCTGAAAATATGTATACAACGTGAGTAGAAGAAAATGAACAGGGGGGGGGTGAGGGGTGTCTAGGATCGAAGGGTTGGGAGTTGAGGATGAAGAGAGAGGTTTGTAGATACCCGCTGGCGTGAAAAAAGGCTCGGGGTTAAAAGGCCACCTGAGAATGAATTGCTACATTAGTTTGTAGAAGTAAAGAGTGGGGAAAAGGGGGCAGGGCAGGGAAGGGTAGGGTAGGGTCGCTTGGTTCAAAGATCGTTTCTCTTCGATCTGTTCGATTTAAATATTATTTCTATATATTATTGTATGTGTGTAACTGTGTCCAAGTAACTGGATGAGTGAGTGTTATATGTATTTCTGTGTACTTTTTATAAATACGAAGATGTGTTTATATCAAATTGTATACAATTGATGATATTACTTTTGTTAATTCTGATTTTAGGGTTTGATTCATTTGTTGTTTATATATGTATTTATGATATGATTTAATTTAATTATTGTGAATTAAATTTTAATTAATATTCTCTCTTTTCTCTAGTTGGAATATAGAATAGAATTAGAAGAAAGAAATCTTTTACGATTTGTTAATTATATTGCGTTATTATTTTTATCGTCATTGCGTGTATCGTTGTTATTAAATGATTGAATCAATTAATCACACAGAGAGCACCCGTTTACACTTTGATTGCGCGCGCATCGATATCTACCCTTCACTCTCGGTTACACGCAACACATATATATTCTATCTCTTTCTTTCCCTTTTTTCGAACTCGTTCCAGTAAAGCTCGAATTTCAAAATGTCGCCCGCGGGTAGACCTTTGCTCTTAAAGTTAAAAGGACAATCGCTAAAAGTAAGTTTAAGCTTCGACGTTTCTGAAAGATTTAATGAAACGAAAATACTTTGACATTTGTATCTATTTGTCGATAAATTTACATTTAGAAAATATTCCAACTCAAAGGTCGAGGGAATTATTTTTGATCTGGTAAAGAAAGAGAGAGAGGGAGAGATAGATTTAGATAAATTAAATATAACTAATAAATAATATAAAATATGCCTTTGAATATATATATATATTTACATAATTTTCTAGAATATATATATGTAAAAGTATATAAAAGAAGAGACATTAGAGTTCTTCGTAAGGTTAGGCAAGCCTCGTCTGATTCGAATCGATTGTGTCGACAGTGACGTCATATAGAGTGAGAGAGAACACGACTAGGAGTAAGAGAAAGAGAGAGAGAGAGAGAGAGAGAGGGAAGGAATATACTATATACGTTTATGTGTGCATGTATCTATGATATGTGAAAGAGAAAGATATATGTAGAGTAAATAAAAAGAGGACGAGATGAACATGTAAGAATGAGAGAGATGAAATATATATGATGAAAAGCTCTCAATGACGTCAACATTTCAAAAAGTATTCTCTCTCTCTTTATCTATCTATCTATCTTTATCTCCCTTTTGTCGACCTGACACTGGATCCCAACAATTCACTAAAACTTTTAACAATAGTATAGACGAGTACAGTCTACTAAAGAAAGTTTCTTATCGACGAATAATGAATTCACTGCGAATCGAGAAAAATTTGTAGATAACAATAATAACATTTTATAGATAACATTTTATGAATCAATGTTATAAGTAACACGTACCTTGCATTGGTTAAGGGTGCACTTAAAAAAATTAAATGCGATTAGCAATTGTTTTAAATTACATTTTAAGACAAATTTGTGAAATTGCAATTTGAATGACACGGTAGGTTAAGTAAAAAACTATATTATCGACACGATAGGAGTTCACATCTCTATAAGAAAATCAATTCAACGAAAGAAAAGATTGACCTTTTTATCTACGTATAGAAATATGTCTATAGAAATATTGCACATTGAAAGGATTGATAAAAATTTCTTTTTACCTTTGGTTATTATATTAAAGCTGAAAATAAACGACATAGATACGTTATTGTAGAGATACATATGGTAAGATGTATTTTTAAATTATCTTTCGAGAATAGAGAGAACTTCGTGAATCTTCATTTTCTTTCATTAATATTCGTTTGTACATTTGACTAGATAATACATTTTATCTGTAATACTAACTTACTTTAAGACGAATGATCTTATCTTCGAAATATCCATTTGTCTAAATTCAAATTGCACATTTTATAAAATACGCGCGAAATTCAAATGTAGTATCAGTGTTTTGCCACGAAGTATTAATTATTAAAAAATATTCGGAATACATATTCTTATAATAAATCCTGTTAAAAGGAACGTTGTAGAAATAGATATGACTTTGAACAATTATCATTAAATCTGACACAGGAAATTCCTACTTGGTTAACGATTCACCGGTCAAAACCATTTTAAACTCATTCGATCATTGACGTATATATTGCATATCTTTTGTTCCACATTTGGTTACTCGCAGTACATACATATATGGTGTATATGCTGTATATATATATATATATGCATGGAAAATGCAAGTACTCCTATATTCACATTCCTCTTTTTTCTCGTTGATCCGTTTAATCAGTACACCCAGTTATTTTCACTATCTTTTTTTTCTCTCTCCTTTTCTCGTTTTATTTTTCAATCTATCTTTCTTATTCTATTCACAGGTATTCATACATTCGTATAAAGAAGAACGCAAATGTAATCACGAACGAAGGTCGATACTTAATACGTATTTGATCTCACAATCAGATGTAAGAATTTTCTTTCTATTTTCTTTTTTCTTTTCTTTTTATAAAAATTAAATTGTTTTATTGATCGCGATCGATAAATTATAGATGTTTTACAAATTTTTTATTATAAATCGAATTATTATTTTGTTATATAGGATTTGTTATACATATGTTAGAATATTTTAATGAAAATTTATTTGGTAACTATAATTTATTTGATATTATTATGAATAAATGATAGTAGAAAAATGTTAATGACTTTTTTACAAAAATTATATAGTGACCTTAACGAACATTTTTTTTTTAAATTTACCCTTTAAAATCTTTGATAAACTTGATCGATCAGCCATCTAGTGAAAATAGAATAAAGTTCATTTGTTTCTCTACAGGTATATACAATTTCGACCATTTTGAATGCTCGGCAAAATTATGGTGTATTAGTATCAAAGATTTTCTCTAGATGGCAGATCAATTGAAAATAAAAATTGTGGAGGGTAATTTTCTAATTTTTAAACTTTATTTTATTTAAGTTTCAATTATCATTATAAGGATAATATAATCTACGTTAACTTAAACGATTATAAATTATGTGTATAAAACTATAAATAATATATTACTTATAAATTCGAAACATATTACAGACTCTCAAAATTTATATAAAAGAAAAAAAATCAGTCTCGCAATATGAACATTTGTAATGTTACTACATTACATTACATATATATATATATATATATGTATATATATAAGATTTTTTGTTAATATTGAAAATTATGCGTTTAATTCACGTTGAATTTGTTCTAACGATTTTCCTTTTGTTTCAGGAACCAAAAATATAACAAAAGGGATACCTACAGCACAAATGATTGCATATAACCAGAAGGTACCATAGGTATGTATAACATTGTTCAAATTTACAAAAGTTTTAGTTACAATAAATGCCAATATCCAATTTAACAAACATGCACTACTACCAGCGATACCTTTAATTTCTGGTGCAAAAAATTCACTGATCATCATCCATGGAAGTGGACCAAGTGCGACTCCAAATGAAACGATAAAAAGGATAATTGATAGTAAAGGTAACCAGCCTATATTATTTACATCTAGTTCTTCTATAAAATAGAAATGAAGGCCAAATAAAAAATTAGAAAAAGACGTACCAGCAATAGATATTATAAGCAATATTTTTCTACCAAGACGGTCAACTATTAGCGAACTACTAACTACCATAATTAATCCAAGTGCACCAATTATAATACTAGCCTCGTTACCAGTAAACGAACCACCAGCTTTTTCAAATATAGAACTGATGTAAATTGCTATAGCATTAACTCCGCTCAATTGTTGAATCATCATTAAACCATAAGATATAACGATAGCTTTTTTACAAGCTTTAGTTTGTATAGCTGTTCGAAAAGATACATTGTTTCTTTTAATCTCTTCAATCGTTTCTTTCAATAAACATAATTCCGGTTCAATATTATATTGAGAACCCCGTAACTTCTTAAAACTTTCTCTGGCAGCTGTTTCGTTTTCTTTCATTAAATAATACGTCGGAGTTTCAGGCATGAAGAAGAATATTATGCCAAAGAGTAACGGTGCGACACAACTCAAAATGGATATTTCATATATATTTAAAGCTCTACTTGAAGTATATAGTATTAGCATACCTATACATAAGAATAACTGATAAAATGTACCTAAACTTCCACGTATTTTACTCTCACTTATTTCCGAGGTATACATTGGACCCGTTACGCAAAAAGCCCCACCGCTAAAACCTGTCAGAAATCTTCCGATATAAAAATAAATGACAGAGTTAGCAAAGATAATAAACAACCAGCCAATCGTAAATGGTATTACAAGTAATAACATAGCATTCTTTCTGCCTATCATATCTGAAAGTGTACCAATTGGTACGCACGAAACTGCAGCACCAAGAGGTGCCAACGATCCGACCCATGAAAATTCTTCTGGTGTAATAGGAAACTTGTATGTTTCGGATAATTTGATACCATCTTCACCAGTCTGTGATGTCCATGATATCATTAAACCTGCTGCTATTGCTCCTACCGATACTGCAAAACTTGCTATAAATTGGGGAAGTTTTTTCGCTTTGAGCGTTTGACCAGTTGGGTAGACAAGGGCTTCGTTAGAAACCCCAACATTATTTTTCTCCATAATTTCTTTAAATAGTTTTTAGTAACTGTTTTCTTTCATTTGTCCTCTCTCTGAAAGAATAACATTATTTTATTACGTATGCGCGCGTACGTTTATGTACAAATATTTTTATTATTTACAATGACTAATTTTGTAATCTCACGATTAATTAATTTTAATTATGATCTTTTTTTATTTTTCTATCGCTTAGCTTGATCGAATTTTATTTTTTGTTTATATGTAATTCTATTTTTAAGCAAAACACTTAAAATTATATCATTGGTAGATTATCTTTAAAGTAGAGAGAGAGAGAGAGAGAGAGAGAGGAGAGAGGAGAGAGAAAGAGAGACAATAAAAATGATTAAAAAATAAAAATGATTTCTATCTTTATTAATATAATCAAAAGTTATTGATTAGATTTTGGATAAAATGTAAATGTATTCTTAATTAATTTTTCTATCGGTTGATCTATAGATAATTAAATTATGTAAATTGCAAAAATAATTAAATAAATGTATAAAAAAGGTACATATACATACAATAAGACGATCCAAGAAGATGATTGTCCTTTTTGCAAATTTAATGCTGCATCTCGTTGAAAATTGTCCAATTTTTGTTTGTTTTAAATTATTAAATTTCCAATATTGTCATTTGATATTTCAATGAACAATAACGAACAATTGATATAAACTTTCTTAATAAGATGTAATAATTAACGAACACATTAAATATCTTTTAATTTCTTCCTATTTCGAAACACTGTTCAAACGATAAATTTGAAAAACTTGTTGAAACCGATCCGTCTTTTCACGTTTTCATTCTACAACGAAATGTGACATTTAGTATTTTTCTTTCGTTTTATATAGTTATTATATTTCCCTCTCTTTCTGTTTCTCCTGTATTTTATTCCCTTTCTTTTTCATATACTGATGGTTTATTTTTCTGCTACATTGACATATTGTTATCTTTTTCATATCCACTGATTCTTTCTTATCAATTCGAGCATTTGCAGTTTTTTCTGATTCCACTTCGTTGCCAGATTACTTCTTTTTTTGATAATATTGCTTACTCATAGTGTATGTAATTAATAGAGTTATGAAAGTTTTGCATCAAATTATGTATTAGATATAACATACGCGTACTGTTCGATTAAATGCAAATATAAATTAATGTACAAATATTATACCAAAATTTATTAAGAAAAAACAAACACACACACAGATACACACACGTATATATAAATCCTAAGATAAATTATTTAGAAAAAGAAAGAAGTAAATGGTTTTTTTACTCGAATTTTGTTTACTATTATCAATATATTAGTTTGGTTTATGCATAACTTCTATTATTTCGATATTTCAAAATATCATTTCGTACATTATATAATGTTTTATTATCGACACGTGTTTTCAGCTATGTTATGACATGATAATGTGCAACAATTATTTTTATAAGAAATTTAATCGATTAAGAAATTTTAGATTAATGATCGATTTGTTATCTAATCATTATCGTCGTTTTGTATATTTTTCTTTTCCTTCTTTTCTTTAATTTTTCTTTTTTTTTTTTTTTTATCACTTCTTAATATTTTTATCTATACAATTAATAAATTATTTAATCGTTGACTGTTGACGATTGTATCTTCTTTTTATATTTTCGACATTATACATAAGTAGATATCGAAATAATTTTTTTTTTAGATTTTTCTTTTTTTGGCTATAAAGAAAATAATAATCGATAGACAATGAAAGATAACAAAGATAAGAAACTATCTATTTCTAGTCGGATAAATTATATAGCTATAATATAATCAAGAATAATTCGTTCAGTTTTTTAAATATTTATTCGAAACGTTTTCGTGTTCAACAATTTTTATTTAATACGATAGTATTAGTAAAATATAATTTATGTTGAATATAAATTAATAAAAATCAAATTTTCAGTCTATATTTTATAAATAATAAAAAAATTACATTTATTTATTTTATATCATTATGATTGCTTATGTTATATATTTACATTGATTAATTACGATTAATAAATATTTTCATAGTACAATGCACTGTGGAAAAGATAAAAATTGATAATTTTATTAATTACAATGATTTATTACGTATAAAAATGAATGTTCAACCGTTTTAAGATTGAGTCATGACGTTTAAATATGTAGAAATATTTGTTCGATTTTTTAACTAATATAATATATCGATTTTCGCTAAAAAATAAAAACCGCACTTTACTTCTATACTATTGTATCATTTCGTTTAATCGTATAATGTAACTATCGAATGAGTTTCATAAATATAATTATCAAAAGACGTATTAAATTCATCGTCTTGTTTGATTATTTCTGATTCCTGGTACAATCCCCATTTATACGAATTCGGTAAATGTAAATTTTTATTGTGTTTTCTGTCTATTTTCAATAATTCCAATATTAAATCTTTGATTAAACGTTGATAAGTAATTTTCCTAATTTCCTCATCATTCATATCTTTGAAGTGATATAACATTTGATTCATATATTTTCGTAGTTCATTAATAAGTTTAATATCAGCCAATGATATTTTAAAATTGAATTGTATTTCCATCTCATGTTCTGGAAAAATATTAAATCCGGTATAATTATCGAATCCTAATCCGCAAAGTGCACCGATGTAATGCGTACCAAATAAATATCGTCTTAATTCTAAATGTGAAGAAAATATCAATACAATTAATTCTTCTAATCCACATGTGTCTTCTATTACAGTGGTATTATATAAAATCAATGTATTGTCATTTGTGTTATGCATTATTTTACCAGCAACTAAGAAAATATTTTTCTTGTTTGTGTCTTTCGTATCATTATCAAGAACAACCGAATTAACTGAATTGTAATCGATTATAATTTTTTGTAATTTAGTAGCCTTAGTTAAGGCCGAAAAATTACATTCAAGCAAAGAATAAGGACCACGTAAGGTAATTTTTGACACGCAATTGTAATTTCCGACATGCAAATTTGATTTTGTAAAATTACAGGAATTATTTGAATATTTTTCACAATATTGCATCTTGTTATAACTTTCTATTGCTGCTCGGGACATGTTTAACCAGTTATTTCTTACATAATTGTTCTCTTTTGATAATTGACTTTCTTCTTTTTCTATTGCATATCTTCTATTTTTTAACTCTGCATTGATATTAAATATCGTATATGTAGTTTGGCAAATAAATGTTAAAGATATAACATTATTAACAATGGAATAAATTTGACCATATAATAGTTTATAATCACTATAAGTATTCATATACAATTCCTTAAGAAAATTTAGAAACGACTCATATTGATTGTCCTTTTCCGGATTATCTTCAATCTCTGCTAAAACACATTCTATCGCGAGGGCTGGGATTTTATATATATAATCCTTTAATATTTTCCTCATAATTATACTTTTAACTGATACTGTATAGCCTATATCAATTAACTGCACTGTAGCATACGTTTCATCCAATATTTTCTTATATTCTTTCACTATTGCACGATAAGATGTCACTGAATCATTTGCGTCATATAAATTCAATGATACAGCAACAAGATCATTTATTTTTGGTAGAATATTAAATGTCGTTACCGAGTCTAATTCATTGTTCAAAGTTTGATGTATCAGTACCATTTTCTTCTCCGTTTGTGAATTCAATATGTGTACCCAAAAATGGTAAGGATTAATGAAATAAGTTACTTTAATTGGAAAAATTACGACTGTAATACTTGGTAATACTGGATTCATATATGCACATTCGTCTTCTAATAAATAAGTCCTTTCATTGTAAAGATTTGTCATATCATCAATATTACTATTCTTAAAAAAATCCTTAGCATATTTCTCATTTAAATAATATATTTCGAAAGGTATTTTAAGCTTCCTCATTTGAACCGATTTATAAACTGTTAATGGAATATCTCTGTTCTCTTCTATATCAAATTGAATATGTACTTGCGAATATAAAGAATAAGGGTTTATTTCTTTGATATAAGAAATAAAGTTACGTTTAAAAATATTTTCTATTTGTCGCGTATAGAAGCGTTCTGGTTCTTTTATCGGCAAATTTTCTAAAACTACTGTATCCATTTTATTAAAATTCTTCGTCAAACAATCTTTGCATACTGGATTTTCCAAATTTGTACATTTATTATAATAATATGGATAAAATGCCCCGGCAATAACAATTTTAATAATTAATTCTTTTTCAACTTTATCATCCCATTTAACCGCGTTATTACTCCACATTTGAAATATGCCAAAATTAAGTAATTTATCGTTAATGCAATTAATTTTAAATGAAACTTCGTGCAACGCATCTATTTGAAGGAAATTATTTTCGGTCCATTTTTCTTGAAAATCCTTACTCATTGTTTTTATTTTAATCCATTCTTTGTAAACATTTAATAATACTATACAATCGCTACCCGAATTATCAGCCCACTTAAGTTTTTCAGAATAAATCTTTAATCCATTTTTTTTATCGTTTAATTTAAAATATATATCTTTTACTGACATACAACAAGCAATTATTATCATATCTTCTAGAAGACTGAAGAAATAACCTAACAATATCAATTTAGTAAGATGAATTTCTAACGGTAATGCACTTATTAAATATCCGAGTTTTGTTAATTGTGTAATATTGATATTATTTTTATCGGTATTACGTAATGCACCATATTCTTGTAATAACAGTCTTGATAATTTTACATTCTCGGGAGGAGGCGGATCAAGTAACGAAGAAAATATATGATCAGATTCATCCGAATGAAAAATTTTCATTTTCACGTATATATCTTCGAGCGGACATTCCATTATTTCAGGATTTGGTTCTTTGGGTAATATTTTCTCATAAAAATACTTCGGTATTAATCTATATGTGTATCCTTCTTCTTCGCAATTTATACGATTGGAGCGTTGTTCGCAAATTATTTGACTAGCCCATACATTTCTTAATTGCGGAATTTTACTCTTTTGGTCAATCTTTAATTGTACCGTTAAACAAAAATCTATAATATATTCGACGTCAGGTATTTTAATGCCATTTTCAGCAATATTTGTTGCTAAAATAATACGACGGTTTTTATTTAATAATTGTGGATTTAATAATTTTTCTTGTTTGAAGATGTTGATCGAAGAATCAAATATGATAACTTCCCATTGGTACTTCTTATATTTATCCGACATTAATTTATCATACATTTGTTCGATTTCTTGAATTTTCGGCAAGAATATTAGAAAGGCATTTTTTCTATTTAATGTCATTGCTGTACCACATATTTGTAATTGAAAATCTTCAATAGTCTTTATTAATTTAACACAATAATTCATCATACGTTTTGTTATTACCGTTACGTCTTTTGATACTTTCGGTAACGATCCCAACATAAAAAGTTCGTACAAGTAACTGATATTTCTATGAATAGAATATTGTTTGGAAAAATCAATGATAGATGAAGATATATCCTCATTATCTTGTACAAAATAATTAACAAATTTGTTTAAATTAAATGTTGCAGACATAAGTATTATTTTTCCTATTGATGAATTATTCGTTAAATATGTTTTTATAAAATGCAATAGGATATCCAATTCTTTACTGCGTTCATGAACATCGTCAAGTATAATATGAGTATATCTATTTACATTTCTTTCCACAAATTTATTTAATAAAACGTAATTCGTACAATATGTGATGAAAGTATTTTTACTTATATATTTAAAAAAATCCGTATGATATCCCACATTAATTCCTATAGACCAATCCCTTTCATAACAAATCCTTTTTGCAATACTGATAGCAGCAATTTGTGTGGGCTGGGTTACGATGATATTACAATGAATATTTTGTTTCAAACAAGAATCATATATTAACAATGGTACTTGCGTTGATTTTCCACATCCAGTTGGTCCCTTGATAAAAACTAAACGATTGTTATCGATTTTTGATATTATTTCTTTTCCCATTGTAGTGATAGAAAATGTGGACATTGAAGTATAATGAAGATTTTCTTCTTTATATAATCTATTTAAATTTTCAATCTGTAATTCGGAATTACTTTCTGTAAATTCTCCGACAATATTCTGCTTTAAACTGTCAATAGATTTAAGATAACTACTAACTTTCTGCTTAATGCTTTCGTTTGATACTACGGTACTACTCGAACTAGTTGCGTCACTTTCTTTTGTACCAACGATTTTGGAAGATGTACCTAGTGGTGTAGATTTCTTAAAACTTGAACTTGATAAACTACATATATTACTTTTATTGGTATTTAATTCGTTTTCCTTGGAAAATGTGTTTCTTGATGCAGATTTCTCAAAGCTTAGATCTGATGAATTAGTTGAACTATTTTTACTGCTATTTAATTCATCCTCCTTGGAAGATGTGTCATTTAATGCAAATTTCTCAGAGCTTAGATCTGACGAATCAGTTGTATTAATTTTACTAGTATTTAATTTATGTACCTTGAAAGATCTGTCATATGATAAAGATTCCTCAAAACTTGAACTTAATGAATTACTTATATTTCTTTCATTGGTATTTAATTTGTCCTCCTTGGAAGATATGTCTTCTGTTGCAGATTCCTTAGGGCTTAGATCTGATGAATTAGTTGTAATATTTTTACTGCTATTTAATTCATCCTCCTTGGAAGATTTGTCTTCTGATGCAGAATCCGTAGAGCCTAGAATTAAAGAATTTTGGATACTATTAAAAATAGCATTTGCTTCAATTTTGGAAGAGGCGATTTGTAATACGTATTCTAAAAAGTCTGAAATTTGTTTAATACTTTCATTCCTTTGACTGGTATTTACTTTATCATCCTTGGAAGATGTGTCTTGTGATGTAGATTCTGTAATGGCTTCGAATGGTGAATTACTTTCACTTCTTTGATCGGTATTAAATTCATCCTCCTCGTAATATTTGTCTTGTGATGTAGATTCTGTAATGACTTCGAATGGTGAATTACTTTCACTTGTTTGATCGGTATTTAATTCATCCTCCTCGTAAGATTTGTCTTGTGATGTAGATTCTGTAATGGCTTCGATTGGTGTATTACTTTCACTTGTTTGATCGGTATTTAATTCATCCTTCTCGTAAGATTTATCTTGTGATGTAAATTTCTCAGAGCATAGAATTGGTGAAATATTTCTACTTCTTTGATTGGTTTTTAATTTATTATCCTTGGAAGAGGTGTCATCTATTGTAAATTCTTCAAAAATTATACTTAGTGAATTACTTCTTCTTCTATTTAATTTATTATCCTTCAATAATGTATCTTCTAATACATAATCTAATGTTATGTTTGAAAGTGATGACCTATTTTTATTACTTTGATTGGTTTTTAATTCATCCTCCTTGGAAGAGATATCTTGTAATACAGTTTCTTTAAGACATTCAAGTGATGCTTTATTTTCACTTACTTGATTGGTATTTAATTTTTTCTCCTTAGAAGGGGAGTCATGTACTATGTATTGTTCATAAAGTATAATTGGTGAATTACTTCTACTACTTTTATCGGTATTTAATTTCTCCTTTTTTAGAGAGGTGTCTTGTGATGTAGATTCTAAGTCTGGAAGTAGTGAATCAGTTTTACTATTTTGTTTGATATTTAATTGATCACCCTCGGAAGATGTACCTTGTGGACAAATTTTCTCAGAGCTTGAATTTAGTGCACAATCTTTCGAAATATCTTTAGAAGTATTTGTTTCTGTACTGATTTCGAGAACTTTATTCGTATTGCATTTCTCTTCATTATTGGAACTTGTTTTCTTTCTCTTCAGGATTCTCTTCTTGGGAGTTCCTTTCGGATTATTAGCCGAGGTAGATACGTTTAATTTTTCCGAACTTTCATCGGAACTTTTTTTTAATAGTCTTGATGGTCTGGATCTACTGTTTTTATTAGCTTTTGAGTTATCCATTTAAGACTTGTGTTTGTTTATAAGAGTAGCTCAAATTCTTCCAATATTCGCAATTAAACGAATGGTATCTGTGTTAATCTTGTTTTATCTGAAAATTGTTAATCTGCTTAAATGCAAGTGAAACGCGTTTTAATTTAATTTTGTCTTACTTTATACTCACTGTTAACGGAAATGTTTAATATTAAAATTAACGACTAACGTTCTATTCTTGTAAATACTAAACAATGATAGTAGCGTGTCCTTATATTCGATCGATAGACATAAACAATGACTCAACGAGATTATTTACCTGAATTTTTGAAAAACAATACAATTAAAAATTAAATTTTTGAACTTAGCAAAGGATCACATTTTACAAGAAGATAGCAAAGTTGATGGAATGCTGAGTTTTTTAAATTAAACTTTAAAATATTAACTTTCCATCTAACGCGTGAAACGAATTGGTATATAAGAATTCATGCCGAAACTTTTTACTTCGTTTTCTTTGAAATGATTAAGTATTATCGAATCTTACACTATGGTGCCATAGTGTATGGTTCTAACGGGGTAAAATTGAACAAAAAAAAATCTGTGTTGTGTTCAACTTGGCTCTTTTCTTATTAGTGAAGTGTTTTACTCTTATTGTTAGATTATATTACATTTTTCATGTTCTATGAATAGAAATTACAATTGTAAAGGATGTCGATAATTAATCGATTTATTTCTTTTTTCATATTTCTACCACTGGTTAATAAGTTCAAAGTTCTATTTAAAAATGTTGTTAAATTGTACGTACCTTTTTAACGAATACCATTTACTATCGGAATCTTTAGCTCAACCTTTTATTACTGTTCGTTATTTTTTCTATTATATTAATAAATAATTTTAATGTCACATGAGGAAAAAAGTGAAGAATTAGTCTTCACAGATATAAAATAGTGCGTATCGTAAGTGATCTTTCTCTCGCAATAATTTAAAGCTAACTGCCTTCTTACGTTTTGAATTTAAATCGTATAATCTATTACATTACTAACATTGTAAATATTACTGAACTTGAAGGTACAAAATTGATATATATATACGTATATACAAACATATATGAATTTATAAAAAAATTTGGATTATATAGACGTTAGCATACAAAGACGTTTGTATATACGTGAACGTGTATTTACAAAAAAACAGTATATTTGCTTGTATAGTACATATACATACGTATATTTTGGTTGTATTCATGTATACATATACATAAATAGATACTTACGTTACATATAAAAACACTTACGCATACGTATAGATGAGGATTAAAATATTATTTAAATACAAACGTTTAGTAGGAATATATTTTATTTTTATTCTTTCTTAAATATTTCTTATTCGTTTTTGAAATGTTAAAAATACCTTAATAAAAGGTACCTAAACACCGTTCCATTTATTTATATAAAAATCATTATTATTACCTGCAATACATTTACATTCATCTTGAAATGCATGCTGTTATACAAACAACTGGAGATATTATTATATAATGCGATTACGTAAATATTAAAATGATCATTCTTTCCCATTTTCGTTCAACTATATATCAGAATATCGAATTTTTAATTAAAACAATTCAACATTCGTAATTTGTTATATCGAACAAATTTTTTAATTATCTATACTTAGTGTGTTAATAAATTTTTGAACAATTTATTAATTTAATTTATTTATTTGATACCGTACAGTAAAATATTATTCTTATGCATGTTTATATTTATATGGATGTTTGTAAAAGAGAATGAAATTTGTTTTAAATTTTAATTATCATTATAACGATACCAATATTTTCAAGTTTATTATATTACATATCTTGTAGATTAAACCGAATGATTTCAAATAGTTTATAAAATATATATGTCTCTTAGTATAAATAATATTATATAAATATATTATGTAATATAACATATTACAGACTTTTAATATTTATAAAAGAATCAGTCTTGCAATATGAAAATGTTTAATGTCTTATATTACAATGTATTTTACATGTTTAGATGCCAGAGATTTCTTTTAATAATTAACTAAGTGTTTAATTCACGTTGAATTTGTTCTAAACTTTTTCCTTTTGTTTCTGGTACCAAAATAATAACAAAAGCAATACCTATAGCACAAATTGCTGAAAATAACCAAAATGTACCATAGGATTCCAAAACATTATTTAAGTTAGCATAAACTTTGGTAACAATAAATGCCATTAACCAATTCAATAAACAAGCACTACTACCAGCGATACCTTTAATTTCTGGAGCAAAAAGTTCGCTAATCATCATCCACGGAAGAGGACCAAATCCAAGTGAAAATAAAATGATAAAAACGCAAACAGAAAGGAGCGGTAACCAGCCTATGCCAGTTACACCTACTTCTTGAGAAAGAAAGAAGTAAATACCAAGTAAGAAGGTACATATACACATAGCAATGATAGATATCAAAAGTAATAATCTCCTACCTAAACGGTCAACTATCAACGTGCTAACAAATACTGCACCTACTTGCATTACACCTACTATGATACTAGCTACGTTGGGATCAAGATCACCACCTGCTTTCTCAAATATAGAACCAACATAAAATATAACAGCATTTACTCCACTTAATTGTTGGAATAACATCAGACCATATGATATTAAAATGGCTTTCTTACAAGCCTTCGATCTCAATGCAGTTAAGAAAGATGTCTTATTTCTACTAGACTGCTCCAGCGTTTCTTTCTGTATACTTAATTCTGGTTCTACATTATAATGGGCGCCACGAAGTCGAACATAACTTGCTCTAGCAGCGCTTTCATTCCCTTTCATTAAATAATATGTTGGAGTTTCTGGCATAAAGAAGAATACTACAGCAAAGATTAATGGTACAATCGCAGATATAATGGATAATACAAACATATTTACACAGGTACCTAAAAGATATACTATTAAAATACCAATGGTGAGAAGCAATTGAAAATAGGAACCTGTACTTCCCCGAATTTCACTTTCACTTATTTCTGCGGTATACATAGGAGCTGTCACACAAAAGGCACCACCACTGAAACCTGTAATGAACCTTCCAACATAAAACATAGCTATAGAATTTGCAAATATAATAAGCAACCAACCGACTGTAAAAGGAACTACAAGGATTAACATTGAATTTTTTCTGCCTATTATATCTGTTAGAATACCAATTGGTATGCATGCTACTGCAGCACCAAGTGGTGCTAGTGCTCCAATCCATGAGAATTCTTCTTCGCTAATGGGGACGTTATATACTTTTGATAATTTGATACCACCATCACCAGCCGGCGAGGTCCATGCTAACATCATTCCTGCTGCTACTGCTCCTAATGTTGCAGCTAAACTTGCAATGTATTGAAAAAATCTCTTTGCTTTAATCGATTGACCAGCTTGGGAGACAAGGGTTTCTTGAGAAATTCCAACATTTCTTTCTGCCATGTTGCTTTGAGTATTTTGTAATAATGGTGTTCTTTCATTTGCCTAAAAGATAAAAAAGAAATATCTTGTTACATATCTACTAAATAGCAGTGAATATTAATAAACCATAGATTAGGAGAATAAAAATATAAATATCAAATAACTATTATAATCACATATAATAAATAATAAAAACGAATGTTATTATTTAAACAAACAAACCTCATTGTAATTATATACACTTGGCTCTGAATCCAAAACATCATTCTCAACCATTTTGATAATATTATTTTAACAGATTTTTACACAAAACAATTAAAATGTTATAAGCGCTTAATAATATTTTTCAAACGACACGTATAATGAAACGTAGCTAAACTTTTTGTATCGTTATTTCTATTATTATTATTATTATTATTGTTTCACAAGATAAAAAAAATAATTATATTTGATAATACAAATAGAGTATTTATTGCAAATAAAAGTTTAATATTTGGTTACGTGTGCTCAAGATTAAAGATAAAAGATATAAACTTTAAATCAACCTAGCCTAATCTTAATTTTAAGAACAACAACATTTACGAGAGATATTAAAAACAAATAATACAACGATCTTTGCTTGATCGATAAAGTAGGATACTATGATTATCTTATTGTTTCTCTCGATATTTAACATAAGTCGGTAAAGAAGAGTACCACGGAAATGTTAGTTTGATTCTTTTTTTTGAAAAATCGAACGTGTTACGGAAAAATCATCGCGAGAGACATATATTCCTTGTTATGTATAATTTAACATGTATAAATTACATGTGAAAAATGTAACTGAGCAAATCTTGAGAAAGAAAATGAAGAGTAATAGTCTAGTTTATTAAACGTTGAGATCTTTTATTATGATGTACTGTTTCGAGTAAAGATAAATGAGAAAATGATTTGTATTGGATAAAATACAGTATGCATACTATTAGGAACGTGAGAGATGTAATTTGTCTTCCTATACTTGACGCAGAAGTGATACATGAAAAGGGTAGTGTTTTCAATTTTGATCAACACGTTAACGATCAATTTTCTTTAAATTCTTGCTTTTAAATGGACATTAAAAATGTTATGTATACGTTTATTATCTAATTTTTTGTTTTAATTTTGAATTATTTAAAATAAATAAAAAATATCAAGCGCGTTGTTATTATGTTAATTATCGACCGAGCATCGATAATAAAGCGATCTGTGTTAGCAACGAAAGATTAGTGTTAATAATTAATTGCGAGCGAAAAACAAATTACAATACAACAGGATAACTTTCGTGTTTCGTTATATTCATAAAATTGATATACTTATATATTTGTCATTTCTTATTACGAAAATCTGAATAAGAAGACAAATAATATTTATGGGTTATATTATTTTTCTCTGTCTAAAGGAAATAAAAAGAATTTGTTTGCGCGATTTTCAAATAATAAATGATTGCTAAATATATAATTACTAAATATTCGTTTTCACGTTTTACTCGCTTTCCTAATTGACCTTGAATAATTAAAATAAAACAATTCGCGACACAGTTTTAATTCTTTTTTCGAAAATTTACTCATATGCTTTTTTTTCAATTTCGAACTTAATTTTCGTAACGGAATACAAGCAAAAGAAAGAAATTTGAAATTCGTTTCCCATTTCTTATCGAAATCTGTCAGGTATTTATTTTTCCAGAGTCTATATCTTTCTATCCCCCTATTCGAAGATAGGATGCGCTTGGTGTAAGGCTGTTAAATGTTGTCTCGAGAGAGAAAGAGAGAGAGAGAGAGAGAGACTCCGATTGTCCCAATTCCTGACGGAAATCGATAGCAACGACGCAAAATTTATTTGCAAATGTGATCGAAGTGAGAACCCACGAAAACCCGGAAGGTTTGAACAGATTTTTCAATCCTGGCGTTGGCAGTATTTTCAATTAAAAATGATTTCTTTTATCCATTTTTCTTCTTTTACTTTTCAAAGAAATAGAAATGAATAAAATCATTGTCAATTGTTCGAGTTCTGTTTGAAAAAATTGCAATCACATCGATCAATGATATCGGTAAGATTAATTTCAAGAAACTCGCGCGATAACCGATGATTATATAATATCGGATTTATTTTTTATTTTTATTTATATTTATTTCTTAACTTTTCTTTCAATTAATTTTATTCAAAGATCCGACTTTTCACTATGATGAAAATATAATTTCTAACTTACAATGATATTTAGTAAAACTATTTCAACGTATACGATTGGAAGATAAATCTCGTGTCAGAAAAGATAAATATTTTCTATATAAAATGTTATGAAGATTCATGAGACGATATGAAGTTAACTTGGAAAGTATTTAAATCATGTTTTGCGAAACGACGTAATAATGAATTTGATTAAAAATTGTTTGAATATTCGTAAGAGAAAGGAAGTATAAAAGTTTAATAATATTAATAATAATGATAATTAAAAAAAAATACGATTATTTTTTAAATCAAAGATTAATCATTATTTCCAAGAGAGTATCATTAGGTCTTGGCCTCGAATACGAGATCTTTGACATTATCTGGAAGATTACGATTAGACGATAAAGAGGCTAAGTTTCTTAAGACGCAATTTGTACATTTGTACCCAAACACAAATTTCTAAGTATATATGTGTGATATATGTATTTAAAATTTAAACATTAACTCGCGTAATAGTTGTTAGAATTCTGATGATGTTAATGTTTAATTTTTTTTTTTCATTCATATTTACGTCATATTTATACGATAAACAAATTTGAATTAATTTATAAATAAATTCATAGATAATTCATCGAAATAACGAAATAAATATTTGATTTTTGCGCGAATAAGTTATTGAAAAATTGAATAATAAAAATTATAATTAAGAATATAAATACGCGCGAGATACGAAATTTGGGTGAAATGTTATTTTGCTTATTTACAAATTTTTGGTCTGTTTTTTCTTTTTTTATAGATAATCTCTCGATGGTAGAGAGATAATATCAATTTTTATTTTTTATTTATTTTCAAATTGAAACAAAGTTCAATTATTACCGTTTCAAAAATTTATCTCTTTCATTTAAAAATCATTTTCGTTGGCATCTCTTTTGCACAAAAATAATACTAATAATAAATATAAAATATAATAATAATCGAGTTTAGTTATATAAAAAACAAAAGAAATTGTATAAATTATATTTGAAATGAAACGTAAAATGGTAACTATCGTTTCTAAGACGAAACATTTCCTATTAGTTAGACTATACACCGATAATAGTAATATCGGAAATAAAATTTTTGCATTTTAAATACAAATTTTCGCTATCACAAAACCCGAACAATAAATTTCCATTTTTTTTTATCTTCCTACTTTTTCGACTTATTTTTAAAAAAAACTACTCGTTTCGTAAACTACGCGATAAAAAAAAAAAAAAAAAAAAAACAAAAAAAAAATTCGTCGTTAGAAATTAACGACAATGTGTTGCTACTAAGATTAATTTTATTCAATGATAATATATATTATTCTCATTTGGGTGGTAGTTTTTTTTTTATTTCTGTCTCCGTCATTCGTTCGATCATAATATTCAATATTTTTCTTTCTTCTCTTTTTTCCACGTACGACGAAAACTATTTATTTTCCACGAAATTTTGTTCTTTACGATACATTGCAACGTTCATTTTTCAACAAGTAAACGAATCATCCTTCATACCACTTTCCGCTTCTTTCTATTTCTATCTTTTTACGAAAGTTATAACATTTCTCCTTTTCTCTTTACCCTTTTCCCTTTTCCCTACTACCCCTTTAAGGTTCCTTCTTTATTTCACTTCTCTAAGGGTTTTTGAAACATCTGTCAAGACAATCCCTGATTTTCTTTAACGCTCGAGAAAACAATATTTTCCGCGGGAAAATACACGTCCGTGGTATTTTACAATACTCTTTTTCACGAAAAAACTGTATTTATCCTATTTCTTTTTTTCTTTTTACTAATACTTCCTTCGTTTTTTTCTTCTTTTTCTTTTTCCGTACTTTCTTTTATTTCTCGTTTTTACGAATCCACCTGCACAGCTGTCGTTGAAATTTTCTATGAAATTGTTTTACTGATCGTAATAGAAAACAAAAATAAAAATAAATAAATATATTTATATTTATATTTATATATTTATATTTATATATTTATATTTATATTATTATTATATTTATATATTTATATTTTTTTATATATTTATATTTTTTTATATATATATATAGAGATAAAAATTTGAACGCGCAATTTTCTCGTTTTAATTCACACGATTCGATGATTACTTTACATCGATCCAATTTACATTTTATATATTTATATATATATTTATATAAAATTCTAAATTTTGTTTTTTCGATATTTGTGTTCTCTCATAACGATCGCGTAACTAAAATCGCATTATCGCGTTAACTAGTCAATATCACATAATCTATGTTCGCGATTAAGTATTATGTAAGATGTTAATTAACGTCCTGGAGTAAACGAGTTCTTTTTATTTTTTTTTTTTTTAATTGCATAAATCGAATAAAGATTTTTCCTGTTTGCATAAAAGCATTATTGTCCCAACGTCATTTTTATTTTATGTCACAGATATTTCAAATTATTTCATCCGTCGATTATCTGTACAACAAAACCAAACAAAATTAAAAAAAAAAAATGGATATAAAGAGAGAGAGAGAGAGAGGGAGAACAATGAGAAAAAGATTATTATTTATAATAAAAACGAGATTGGAATTTTATCGACGATTTTAATAATATCATATAAATGTATATATTGTAAAAAAAAAGAAAAAGAAACACATAATATTGATTTAAAAGAATTTATAATATTTTAATGATACGTTATCTTTCTATTTTCTTTTAAAATAATTCCAATAAAAAATCGTATAAAAATAATACAACAATTGGATTTACAAATAAATAATGTTAAAAGCTTTTATACGATTAATATTATTTTGTTCTATTGAACAAAAATTCGATTAAATGAATATTATAAAAAAATAAGTATAATTAATATTTAAAGTAAAATCTAAAGAGTATAAGTCGCGTGTTTCAACGAAATAACGATTCAAGAAAATCGTTTGCAAACGATTATGGAAAATAATGTTAATTACATTATAACGTAGTCTTCAACATTTTCCTTCCTTGCAAAAAAAGTTTTCCTCTTATATGTCTCTCTCTCTCTCTCTCTCTCTATTTCTTTTTCTTTCTTTTTTCTTTTCCTTGATGTTAGAAGAAAAAAAAAAAGTAGGGAATACTAATTTTTAGTGCCAACCTTTTTGCAAAGATCATCACTAAGGGTATTCCCTTTTATATATCGATTTACTGTCAGACGCAACCGTTGAGAAAATTTTTGAGAAGCAGCCAACGGAGAAATGAGATGTCTCTTATTTAAAAAAAAAAAAAGAAAAAAAAGAAATACGCGAAACGACAAGAACTAACCGCAATTTTAATTACAAAAACTTTGCCGTCCACTTCTTTTGCAATTAACTCGCCGTAACTCATTTGATTTTATTTTTTTATATATTTATTCATGAAGAAAGAATTGTTCGAGTTAATTATAGAAGTTTCTTTTCTTTTTCTTTCTTTTTTTTTTTTTTTATATCAAGTAACGTACTTTCGATTATTGGCTAATATTACTTTTCTCTCTCTCTCTCTCTCTCTCTCTATAATATCTTATTAGTTCTTTTTATAATAATATTTTTAAGTTTGATTATATAAGATATCGATAAGTATTATTATTATTATTATTATTCGTTACAGTTAAAATAACTTTTGATAATTATTTAGAATTCCGTTAATTATGATATTGGATTTATTTATATGATTATAATATACATTCATTAAGTAATTAATGCGATTCCGTGAATTCCCCGTGTTCGTTAATGATGAAAAATACTTTCGGTAAAAATTTATGCACACATATACACTCATATATACATTTATATACGACGTAAAATTAAATGAAAAATAATTTTTATTGTTAATTTTTTTTTTCGACCAAAGATATATGAGAATATTCGTCGTAAGAGAGAAAAATGTCTCATTAAAAAAAAAAAAAATCTATACGCTTAGAATATATTATATATATATATACGAATAATTATTACGTTTTTAGAAATTTATAAAGACGACCAACACAACTAAGATGACTTCAATCTTATATTTTATTTTCCTCCATTTTGTTTCTCTCTCTATCTCTCTCTCTCTCTCTCTCTTTTCAAAAAAGAAGAAAAAGAAAAAACAAGGAAAATAAATTAGAATCTTGAAAGTAAAGAACACGAGACTTGGATACAAAAAAAAAGAAAAACGTGCTTGTACATAAACGATTACACGTATACTTAATGGCATGCACCTGAAACTTGGATTCGTACTATGTATAATATAACTGTTACGTATGCAAACGGTAGTAAATTGACGAAAAATAAATAGATCAGATGGGAAATACGTTAACATGTTAGATAAGATTTAATCCGAAGGGATTACATTTTTCATGCAATTTTTTTTTTTTTTTTTCAATGAAAACAGATATCTCGATATCGTACACATACACACTCACGCACGGATGCACGCATGCACGCACACGCAATACTACGATAAAAATAAAAAATAAAAAATTATGATATAATAATATATATATATAAAGAGAAAAATAAAGAAGAAAAAAGATTGATAAGTAGAATAAAATAAAATAGGCGAGCAAACAAAACCAAAAAAAGAAAAAATGAACGTAAAATAGAAATATAACGAAATAATAAACGTAGAAAACGATGTTGAATAGAAAAATACAATCCCACAAATAAATAAATAAATCTATAAATAACAATATATAAATGTATTATTAAAATCTAATAAAAGGATATACGTACTCGATGACAAACAGGGGGGGTTGGGGGAGGGTGGTGGACGAGAACAAGAGACAGGTCCTCCCTTATTTTCTTTTCTCGTTTTTTTTTTTTTTTTCTTGTTTTCGTATCAAATCGTATCAAACATCCCGTCTCCAATGTTTCCAATTCCGTTGATTAATTAATTAGTTTTCTAGTATTATATCACTCGATAATTCCAATAAACGAACGGGTTACGAATGTTTGACGTAATCTTCTCTCTCTCTCTCTCTGTATTTCTGTTAGTTAAATGTAATAATTAACGAACACTATTGTCGTCTTTCCTTCTCGGATTCTAAGCTTTGAAAACACTTTGAAAACGATCGAAATCGTATTTTCTGTTTCGTTCAGTGACGATCCGTCTATTCTCGTTTTTATCCCGCGACGGAATATCCCATATTATAGTGTTTCCATTTACCGATTGTGAGCCTCGTTATATTTTATCTCGTTCTCTCTCTCTCATTCTTTCATTTTTTTTCCTTTTTCTTTTTTTTTATTTTAATTCCTTCTCTCTCTCTCTTTTTTTCTTACAGGCATATATAATATCACTACTTCGAGTACTTTTCTCATTGCATCGAAATCCTTATCTTCTTCCTTTCTACTGGTTCTTCTTCTGTCTTATCAATTCGAGTTATCCCCACCACCCACTCCCACCACCATCACTACCTCCTCCTCCTACTCCTCCACCTTCTTTTCCTTCTCCTACCACTTCTACTTGAAAAGTTTGTTTTCTTGATTATATTGCTTACTCCGTGGAATGCAGTAATAATAATGCAATGGAATAAATAACATTGTGACATGTTCGAATAATCATGCGATAAAAAATAATATCGAGTGTAATTAGGGTTCGACCTAATTATTAATGGGGGGACTATTTTCTTTATCGAACGAACAAAAAACAAAAAAAAAAAACAAAACAACAATAACAATGATGATCTTGCGATGAAAAATCTATGGGAAAAATATTTTATGTTTCGTGTCTGTAAATCGATTCGAACAGAAGTATTTTGAAGAACATATTAATTGTGATATCATTTTTGTATTATACGATCTTAATGAAAATGTATTATTCATTTGGGAAAATATTAATTATAATTTAATACACGAATAGAATATTTATAATAATAATAATAATAATAATAATATATGAAATGTAAAAATATATATATATATATTTATTTTTATTTTTTTTCCTTCCTATTATCAATGCACTCACCTGGTTCATGTAAAAAAACATTTGACATTTGGACACTTCAAGGTAATTTTGTTAGCTATAAAATGTTTCGTCTTTCGAAAAAATATATAATACTTGGTTATATTTTTCTATCCTCATTATGTACTACATATACATGTATATATATCTCGAGAGATTTTTGTTCAACTAGATAACGATATGATAATACGAAACAAGCATTATTGTTCAAGAAATTTATCTGATAATGATATTTACAATTACAAGAACCAGCGAATTGATCGTTAGATAATCTTCACATTCGAACGACAAAATTGTGTCAAGATTATCTGTTTAAATATAAAATTCGTTTAATTGTTAGTTATTATATTGTATAATCTATACGATCGAATTTTTTGCTAACATTGAAATAATAATAAGCGTAAATCTGTGAAAGATTAAAACGTTTATAAATATTTTTCGTTGTCTCATAGATGTTATCGATTATCTTAGAAAATAATGCCACGTATTTTAATTTTGTTTTTTTTTTTGGTTTCTGCTCAAGAATTATAATCGATAATAAAGTGATAAGGAAACGATCGGAAGAAATCGTTTCTAAGTAAGTTGTGAAATTAATTGGATGATTATTATAATATATATGTTATTATTACAACATTATGTTTTTTAAAAAAGGAAAAAATAAAAAAATTAAAGTATACTATTGTAACTAACTTTTTTTTTATGATTTGACATCATTCAATCATAAAATGACAACCATGACAGAAATTGAATGATCGTAAACGTAATTCTGACAAAATTTTTATTTCTTATCACTCTGATATTATGGTATCATAATATTTGGTTTATTTATGTAAGTATACTTACTCACGAGAAGATGGTATTTCTAAAGAAAATATAATATTTGTTTTCTTCATTACTATTTCCATCCAACGGAGCAAACTGTTACCTCTTACGATTGAGAAAAGATATATCAAAATGTTGGAATGTAAAAGAAATCAGATAATTAAATAAATCAAAATCTCGTAAAATGTTACCGTCAAAGCCGGAAATCCGCCATTGCTAGTAATTACTCGGCATTCTCAGCAATGCAAAAAGCATTCCGATGAAGTAGGAAACAGGAAAATTCTTACAGTTTTTCCTAAGCATTGAACATAATACTTTGATATATTCTATAGAATAACAAATTACTATTTAAACAACGTTTAAAAGAGTACATTCTATGAAAGAGTATTTCTTTGAAAATTTTTGGTAAATATTTTTTATACTAAAAGTGAATAGATTTTAATGAAACTTATATTAAATTAAAGTACACTCTTTAGTCTACGCGTAGAATACCATATCGAGTTATAATTGTCGCATGTAAAGTTCAGAAAATGTCAGAGAATGCAAAGCTGTAAATTGAGCATCTTTGCAATTTCTTTGAAAAGTTTTGGTATATATTTTTGATACTAAAAGTACATAGATTTTAATAAAACTTATATTAAATTAAAGTACACTCTTTTGTCTACACGTAGAATACCATATCGAGTTATAAATTTAGCATGTAWASTTYAKWWAATGTBASWGAATGSAATGCTGTAAATTGTGCATCTTTGCAATTTCTTTGAAAAGTTTCGGTAAATATTTTTTATACTTTTAGCAAATGGATTTTAATGATTTTTATATTAAATTAAAGTAAACTCTTTTGTCTACACGTAGAATACTTTGTAGAGTTATGAAAATCAAATGTAAAGTGCAGAAAATGTCAGAGAAGGCAATGCTGTAAATAGTGCTTCTTTGCAATTTCTTTGAAAAGTTTTGGCCAATATTTTTTATACTTTTAGCAAATGAATTCTAATGATTTTTATATTAAATTAAAGTGCACTTTTTTAGCTACACGTAGAATACAAATTTGAGTTATAAATCAATCTGAAAASGTTCATAAAATAGCAAAGAATGCGATGCTGCAATTTTTTTTCCTACTTTGCCATTTCTTTGAAAAGTTTCGGCAAATATTTTTTATACTTTTAGCAAATAGATTTTAATGATTTTTATATTAAATTAAAGTGCACTCTTTTA